CGATTTTTTTCTGTTCGATCGAGTCAAAAAACCTGCGGGGAACGCGTTTTAACAGCCGAAAGGAGGTAATGGAAAAATCGAAGACGGCTCTGATGGCTATACCAATAATAGAGTTCCAGAAATGTTTCGAGAGCTGGATCAAGCGCTGGCATAAGTGCGTTGCAGTCGCTGGAGAGTACTTTGAAGGGGACAATATCACTTTTGATGAATAAACTTGTATTTTGAATTTTCTGAATAAATTCCGGAAACTTTTTGATCAAGCTAGTAGTGTCACGACAAATTTCTATCTGTGAAATGAGTACTTATAATTCATCGATTATTTTGCTGTAAAACAGGTAATGTTTCCTTTGTTTTATTCTCCGTTTTAAAAGATATTAATAATTAAATAAATTATTGTAAATTAGAATCTGGAAATTCTCGTTCTACACTTTTTACTACATGACTTCTGACGTTCTAACATTATTATATGAAGCAGCGTCGCTTTGATGCAAACATGATCTTTACAATTATAACACACGAGGGTTGAATTTGATTCCAACTTGATGTAACTTTGCGTCTTAAGAATATTATTAATTTTACTGAAGATGGCCAGATTGTGGCCGAAACGTTTAATGTTTTTATTGTAATTCGTATATGCAAGAATAATTAAATATCACTAACTACATCTTGTGCTGTGGTTCTGTATGCTCTTTCTTTTCATATATTTTAAAATATCTATCTATTTTGATTGTAGAATTACCTGTAGATTTTTTTCAAACGCGCCTTACAACGACGCGTAGATATAAAATGTAATCTTGCATCAAGGTTTCAATTATTTATGTATGTAGCATATGTTCGAATTCATAAATGACTACTTTTTTATACTTTAACGGACAAAAATTATTTATTTCTTTCTGTTTTAGAATTATTATTCTACTTTTTGTACATTTGTAATATTCTAATTTATAATACTCTTTTCTTGTGATTCATATATGATAACTCTAGTTCCGAAAGATCGAGCTGCAGAAATTTTTTCTCGTTGCCATCTAACTGAAATTGTATTCTTGACACGTAATTAAAAACGTTCGAATTGTTCGATTATTAAGAAATTTCGGAATGTACTGAGATTTGGATAAAAACTTTTATCGAATTAACTTAATTACACTTAATCAGCAATTAATTCGACTGATACAATTGCTTACAGTAAAATTAACTAACACAAATACTTCTACAGACTCCATCGTTTCCATCTTATCATCTTTTCATAAATCAGATGTTAATTTGCGAAATGTAAGATAAATGAAGTAACTATTATCTATAATTACTACTTTAACTTTATTTAAAAAATAGGAAAAGTATATAGAATAAAAGATATCCGTTTTTACCAACATATTTCAATCTCGATTTAATTTACTTTTTATCTTTTAATTCTAAGAATTAGAGAAAGAGTAAATTAAACCGAATTTGAAGTTAATTTGTATTGGTAGAAATAGAAGAGAATATTGAAAATAGAAATTCTGACTTAAAGGAAAAGTCAAAGACGCCTAACATTTATTTATCTAAAAAAATAAAAATGTTATTTATCTTTCGATAAACTCCAACAAACAGATATGACCGTAAATCGCAAATGATCAACCTTCATTATGATTGATTCTAGTGTAATTTGAAAAATAGTTTCTTTTCAGAGATGATTTTATTTGAAAAGGGAAATATGAAAAGAAAAAAATGTTCAATAGATGTAACAATTATATATATTGTTAGACAATCATTGTTTGCAGTTATACTTATAAATTTATCGAACAAAATTAATGGTTCCTAAACTATTCAATTAATTGTTGCATCCACTGAACATCGATCACTTTATCCTGACAGAAAAATTTATTATTTTAAATTTTTAGTTTGGAAATCATTTCATATTCTTTCACATGTTTCTTTTAGTAAGCAAATGCAAAACGAATCTAATTATTGATTCAGAAAACATACATCCGTAACTTCTCATATTTTAATGTGCCGAATATGAAGATTTTTTTCTTAAAATGTTACATTGTAAAAAAAGTATGCATTTTTGCATCTTTCCAAGTAATATCTCGGAATTGATTATCTTGGAAAATAAATTTATTATATAAACATGCTGACATGATAAATTTAGAAAAACAAAATTAAATGAAGAAATAATATCCCGCATACAAACGAATCAAATTCAAAATATATCGAAATTTATTTTCACTTATTATAAATAAACATTATCGATGAGACGTTTATTCCTTCTTCGGCGCGACGGCTTGTTTTGCTTGATGGGCCTGTAATACGGCCACGGCTTCATCGACCTTGGCCTTCAGAGATTCTTTGTGTTCCAGCATATGAAGCAGTTCACTGTTATCGATCTCCAACAACATACCAGTGATTTTGCCGGTCAGTTGTGGATTCATGTCATGGATCAGAGGGAATAAACGTTCTCCTAACATTTGTTTTTGTTCCTGCGGTGGTGCTGCAGCTAGCATCGATGCAGTGAGCGGTTCTTGGCCCTGGATATGAACCGCCTGCTGCATAGAAGGACCACTCGGTGTAGGTAGAGCCATAGCCGCTTGTGGAGGATTGCGCATATTTGCGGTGTACTTGTAATTCGATGGACGGCTCTGACCGGGCGAGACACCAACGGCTGGTCCAGCCATGGAACGGCTCTGCATATTGTTACTAACAGCTTGCAGACCTGAAATACATATTGTCAGATAATGTAAAATAATAATTATTTTACATTATTTACTAATTATTAAATATAATTATAATTATTATTATTGTATAATACTATAATCACGATATGGATTTACAAGTTGTGTTCATAAAATTCTGTTTATATTGAACAATACATTTGTATACATCAATACTTTTTTTTTTAATACCTGTGATAGGTCTTGCAGACATGTTATTACGTAAAGCTCCAGCCTGTGCGGCAGGAGCTCGCGGCGCCGCTCGGAATGGTGCAGCTTGCATTGATGCGAATCCAGAGTTGCCAGTCTGCGCGTTCGGTCTTACTTGATTTGGTTGCGCTGGCCAGCGTGGAGTAGCACGAATTTGCGCCATCTGCGCGGGTCCATAGAATCGCTGCGGCTGCGGCAGTGTAGGTACAAAGTAACTACCGGCGTTACCGGGTTGATGGAATATTTGACCCATCTGCTGCATGCGCATATTTGCCATGCGTTGCATATATTGAGAGGCAAGGTGTGCCTTACGATCTTCCTTACGTTGCGCCAGAGCAACGTAGAGGGGTTTGGAACCTACGATGCGTCCGTTCATCTCAGTAACTGCCTTGGTGGCTTCCTCTGGCTGTGAGAAGCACACAAAACCAAAACCCTTGCTACGTCCTTCTTCCATCATCACCTTCGCTGAGGTGATCGTACCAAACGGCGTAAATTCTTTACGCAGACGCTCATCGTCGATCGTATCATCCAAATTCTTTACATACAAATTCACACCTTGATATCGATTCAGCCGCTCGATTTTCAATTGCTCAAATTTCCGTTTAAGTTCCTGTTGACGCTCGGCTTTCTTCTGAGCCCGTCCAACGTACATACACTTGCCCTCGGCAATCTCCTTACCGTTCAAATCAAGCACCGCCTGCTCGGCAGAGTTTGGGTCCTCAAATGCGACAAATCCGAAGCCACGTGATTTGCCGTCGTCCTTAATCATCACTTTGTGGCTTGTAATGGTCCCATACTTTTCAAACATTTCTTTCAGCTTGTCGTCGGTCATATCCTCGCCAAAGTTCTTTACGTAGACGTTTGTGAACAGTTTGGCCTTCTCGCCTAATTCCTTTTGGCGTTCCTTACGTGGAATGAATTTACCGACATACACCTGTAAGCATAATCCATGTTGAAAAACAGAAAAGAAACGCGCTACTTCCTAGTTAATAGACAGTTTAAATTCTTAAAATTGTGTAAAAGAATTAAAATAATAATATTAGGTGTTGGAATTAATTCGTAGCGTTTTACAAGTGATGGGAAGTACTTTCATTAATGTATTTTTTAATGCTCATGTGAAATAAATAACATTCTTTCATTAAAAAACGCTACGAATTAATTCCAACACCTAATATAAAAACATTACCAACAATACCAATTCCTTAATGTCATTATACATAAAATCATTTTTAATTTTATGTTATAATAAATATTTTAAGTTAATAAAATATAAAAATTGGCATTCATTTGCCCTGATTAAAAAAAAATTGTTAGAGAACGATAGAAAAATCCTATCGTTTTGAATATGAAATTTGATTCATGAATTCCCTAATTTGAATCAGATCTTATAGAAATCTTATAGAATAGATAAAATACGATAGGATTCATATCTGATCAATCATAATGCTCATGAAGTTAATGGTAGAAAATGATATAAATTTATAGAAAACGATACAAATTGATAGAAATCCTATCATTTTCAATCGTTCTCTATCAACTTTTTTTACCAGGGTAATGATAGGCTTATTCCTAAATTCTAAACAGAATCGTAAGGCTCGTAATATATTTTCGTACACTTGTAACAACTTATAACTGTTTATAACTTAATGCAATATCTTTACAGACAGTTTCTCTTGCTAGTCGTAAGATTTACAAGAAATCATTAGGTATTTCGTACACATCTTACAATATCTATATAAAGTATATAAAACATCAGTCATGAAGTCTTATATGTCTTACCAAAACAAATTACGATTCTGCTTAGAATTAATCCATTAATATGCTTGAGATATGTTTGAGGTTACATATCATGAAGGTTATATAAATGTCTCGCTCTCAAATCAAAATAATGCATGCGGCAAAATATGCAAATAATGAAAGTGATGTAACATCGAAATTATATGATATAAATTCAGACGAAACCTTAACAGAATGATTAAGTATTTACTTTGTAATTATAATATATTCTTGAAATGTCTCTCTTATATGCAAATGTTTCAAATTAAGAAAAAATATCTACAGAATAAAAAGTTTTGTATATATTTATGAATGTGAATTCCATATATTTAGAATTAAATATTTTAAAAAATCAATGTAATTTTTTTTAGATATTAATATAATCAACCTCTGTATCATGTATGTATTATATTATAGATTTGTCTCATGATTCATTAAACGAGAGAAACTCTTGACTCGATAAGCCAATCAATTGAGATAATAACTTTCATCTTATAATCAGTGAAGAAAGAATACTTTACCTTCTTGCCATTTAGCAACATTCCATTGACTTTTTCAATAGATTTGTTGGCTGCTTCCTCTGTTTCAAAATGAACAAAACCGTAACCCTTTGACGCGCCTGATTCGTCTTGCGTAACCTTGCAACTCAGTATATTACCGAACGCCGAAAACGTATCATACATCGCTTTATTGTCTATGTTTTTATCTAAGTTCTTGATAAATACATTTCCAACGCCTGACTTGCGTAAGGAGGGATCGCGCTGGGACCACATAATCCTGATAGGCCGCCCTTTTATAATGTCGAAGTTCATAGTATCAAGGGCGCGTTCAGCTGAAACATAAACATCCGCAAATGTATATTTATGTTAATGTATTGCGTCTTTGTGGAAGTTGAATAACATGTTAAAGATTTGATCGTTATGTTAATCGCGAAGGCGGTTTTTTTATCATTAAATAAATTCATATGTATACACAATTGCTCTGACAACTGTTTAAAGTCTATAAGCTAAAAATACATCTCCAAAAATTACATAAAATTTTAAAATTAAATTACACAGTATATAAGATATATTTGTAGTAGAAAGAAAAATTTCCATTCCAAATAACTTTTGTATATTTGAATACTTCTTGATAAGAATTAATTTCGTGTGTGTGCGCGCGCATGATTTTTATGAACTTATTCTTCCAAGCATAAATATATAAAAAGAATAATCTTGTATTTTTCGATTTATTTATTTATTTTGTAAAATACTTTTTAAATCAAGTTATTGTAAAAATTTGTTTCTTTTAATTAAAATTCATAATTTTTTCTTGATTCTTTCTTGATTTCAGAATTAATACTACAATATTACAATAATATTACAAAATGAGATATATTAATGTTTCTCATAATTCAATTCTTGAATAAAAAATTAGATTACTTTAATCGAAAATTAAGAAAAATATTTAATGTTCGAGTTAATATTTCTATTTTATTTGAGTGTGTAGTTATGAAATACACTTAACGGGTGAACTACTCATTGAGTTTAGTTTCTTACCGTGTGCGTCACAGTGGAATTTTCATTATCGTAAGTGTACAATGATAAAGTATTGTGTAGTGTGTCTAAATAAAATATCCTTATAAGTACTATGTTGAATACATTTTTTCTTTAGGTATATCATTATTCATCTATTTATGTCATTTGAAATTCTATATTAAATATTAATATTTTACAAGCATTTTAAAAAATTATGATAGTTTCAGACACAAATATGACCAATCTGATACTCAACAGGTTTGTTTGTTGTTTTAAATTAAACTAGTACACTCATAAAGTGAAGTAAATATATTATACATATATTTGAAGTTTGCCGAAAGCGAAGAAGTTTTATAAAAAAAAATAAATATACTAAAATTTCAGATATTTTCGATGGATTTGTTTCTTTGACCGCTTTGACCGCGTGTCTTCAAATAATGCGCAACAAAAAAAAAAAAAATTAAAGAAAAACAATATTTTCTCTGTCACATGGCAAATGCGCTTAAATGTTAATCATCAATCATCGTTAAGCCCGTGATGGACCGAGAATCGCAAATTGAAGATTAGAATTTAATCAATCAGAACAAAATGGATTAAGATTATTCGATTAAAGTCTAAAGCCTGAAACACAGTTGAATGCACAGACAATCGCGGAATGGGAAATAACAGATTTCAACCTATCATAAGTGTGTACATCAGAATATACAGTGCTGATAAATTGAAATTAGGATTGTTACTTTTGACTGATTTCGATATTTCAAAGCTTCAAATTTTTTCAAAGTTTGAAGTTAATTTCGAAACTTCGAAAAATACATTCGTAAGAATGACGAATTTATTCAAGAAATGCTAAAAATATTATAAATAAAAAGAATTAATTTATAATATTTTTAGTATTTCTTGAATAAATTTAATACATATAAATACACATAATTTATATACATATATATACACTAAAAAATGTGATATTCTTAAAAAATTTGCAATATTATATTCTAAAATATTATACACTAATAATTAGACTGGATATGCATGTAAAAAGAAAAGGGATAATGCTTAATAAAAAAAATCTAATTAAGAAAATTAAAAAAAAAATTAAAAATAAATTTATTCTCGAATAAATGAACAAAATATAATAAAATAATATTAATGTTTTAACTTTACTAAGTAAATCTTCCTTAGCATACGATAATTTTAAAAAACATAAAATCCAGACAGAATCGTAAAATCAATGAAAATATTGAACTTACGTATTTTTTAATTTAACAAAGTAATCACAACATTAAAACATTCTATTTCAAATTTTGTCATACATATATAATTTTATAAATATGCACCTATTACGGTAATATTATTATTATATTAAATTAATTATTACTACATTTACACGACTCGATTTACAAAGTTATAACATCGATGTTATGAAACTAGCCAATCATTCCTCTGAAGAATGGAATGACTGTGATTGGCCAATTTCCCAACATCGATGTTAAATCGAGCCGTGTAAACGTAATCCATAATTGTGTTACTTTAATTGTTCAAATTTAATCATTCGATTTTTGAAGATTTTATTTTATTTGATGCTTTAAGCTTCAAAGTTTGAATGTCCAAGCCTTCGAAGCAAATCATCCATTATTCCCTGCGTGCTTTTCAATTGTGTTTCAATCTTAATTCCCCTCTCTTCAACTCACAATCCTCCATGACCTTCATCCTTAAAGGCCATAATACACAGAAGCTTAAACGGTAAAACGTAAGCAATAGCAAATCCAACAGGTTGATATTCTTACTGCTTACATCTTACTATTTAAGTTTTTATGTCGCGTCATGCTCTGCTGGATCCAACAGGGCGCGCGTTGGCGCGACACATGTGAGACATGCAGCAGGTGGCGATTCGCGCGGCGTTACCGACGCCGCGTTATCACTTACCACGTTGACTACCACTGCCACTGCCGCAACCACCACCACCGCTACCACCATCACCAACCACCACCACTATCGTCATTATGAGAATTGCGCAATAATAAAAATAATAACAATGATAACTCACCATCGGCTGGTTGCTGAAAGTTGACATATGCGTAGCCGAGCGAGCGGCGGGTGATCATGTCGCGGCATACGCGAATCGACAGCACAGGTCCAGCAGTCGAGAATTTCTCGAACAGCATCGCCTCGGTGATGTCGGTGTGCAGATTGCCTACATAGAGCGAAGCCATGGGGTAATTGGGTGCTCCAGGATTCATGGCGGCGGCTGTGGTGGCGGTAGATTATCGCAGAGAAAAGAGAGAAACGGGACGGCGTACTTTGGCGTCGCGCGCGACGCTTCAATCGTTTGGCTTCTTCCTTGTCTACCCTCCACGCGCGGTACGGCTTATCCTGCTCCGTCTACAACGCACCGCACCTGCCCGTGTCTCGTCGCTCGCGCGTCCTCGCACACGTTTTCCTCTTCACCTCTCCCGCTTCCACTACGTACGTGCGTGCGTAGGTACTTTTTTTTGCGTGCCTGTGAGTAGATAAATTCCTCCGTCTGTTTCTCCCCGCGAACGAACGTCGCTCACGAATACTCTGGGCTCTCGACTCGGTATTTACTTCCCTTTCTTTTCCTTTATCATCGAGGACACGACGATTTTCGCTTTGTGGTTTTGCGATTTTTTTTCAATACGTTTTTTTTTTCACAATTTTTTTTGCTTTTTTTTGGGTTTTTCTAGGAGAGTTAGTTTCACGAAATGGACATTAGGTTATGTGGCCTATTTCAGGGGAAAAGGAAACGCACACAACAAACGCGCAACGCGAACACAACTCTACCTTTACTGAGGCAAAAAAGCGACGTGCGGCATTCTTGCACGCATTTATATATCCGGTGATCCGCGCAACGATCGCCTACTCCTTCACAAAGTAGTTCCCTCTTCCGTCAAAATGAGAAACGTTTGCCCATGTTGCTATTGGTTAATTTGGAATAAAACTTTTTTATTGGTTAGTCCAATGGAAAAACACTAATAGCGTTTTCCACTGAGAAAATTAGTGCAACACTGAATCCACTTAAATATAAATTATTTTATTTATTTGCTATGTTAATAAATAATAATTTAACTCTTTTAATTGCATTGTTCTTTATTGTCACGATCATGTCATAATGTTAAAAGGCTTAAATTGTTTATTAATGAAAATACGTAAATCAATTTGCATTCAAGTACACTAGTGTTGCACTTCATTAAATTTCTCAATGGAAACGCTGCAAGTTTTAGTGGTTGCGTTCAGCACAGAAAACTATTCAGTTAGCATTTAGTGATTCTTTAATATGATTCTTGCCTTTAGTTCTTCGTTCGATCTAAGTGTAGAAATCAATTATATTAAAGAATTACTAAGGATAAAATCTCACGGTGCGGAAAAAGGCTGCGAAATAAAAAATGCGTCACTGGCCTAGTTTCCATCGAAGATTTAAATCGGATCAGAATGTAAGAATCAACCAACTACAGTCAAGTATTCTCCTGTTACAATCGAACGACAGGGAAATGCTCGACTGTAGTTGGTTGGTTCTTACATTCTGATCCGGTTTAAATGGAAATGGCACCCAAGCGCTAATTGATAGTGTTTTCACTCCGATCAAGTCTAACTTGGGTTGAAGTAATGATGTTTCGTGCTCTCCTATTGGTAGAGCGTGTAACGTCAACCAATAGCGAAGCATTTTCTAACCCAAGTTGGTGCAAACCCGGTCGGGCCGAAAACACTATGAGTTTTCTTTTCTGAATGCAGTCAGTCACAATCATATAATAAAAGTTTGCATAGTATGCTCTAATATGCTCTTGCCTCTTAGTTCGGATCTACAATAGGTGTTTTAAGTCTTAAGCCATAAGAAACTGACTAATATTCTCCTTAAATTTAACTGTAATTGGTCAATTTTTTACGACTAAAAGCTTAAAATACCGAGTAACCCCGGATTTACAATAGATTTTTAAGCCTTAAGCCATGAGGAATGGACGAATCATAATCAATTATTCTCTTCGCATTCAATTGTAATTGGTCAATTTCTTAAAGCTTAAAACACCTATTGTAGATCCGGACTACAGTCAAATGTGAGGAGAATAATTGATTGTGATTCGTCCATTCCTTATGGCTGGGATGGCTAGAAAAATTTATTGTAGATTCGGGATGACAATTGCAAAGCTATTTCTCTGCTAAATGCAACCTGCAATATTACGAACCAAAACAAAATACTTAGAATAAAATTAAAATTATCTGACTGATTGAATTAATCTTCAATCTATGACACATATAGTAGTTTGAATATGGATTTTACATATACATGTTAAAATATATAATTTTAAATATTCACATACACATATTTTAAATATTCACGTACATATGATAACGTACTGTAAAATCTTTTCGTAATTATACTTCAAAACTTTGTATTGAAAATATTAATGATTCTGTACAAAAACTTTATTTAATTTATTTTTATATATATTAATTGTATAGTGTAAAAGTAATTAATTCATTTTAAAATAATTTGAATGACTGTCAAACTTTTTCTAATTGTACTTCAAAAATCTGTTTTATACAAATGATTTTACAAGAAAATTGTCTAATAGGAAATCATTTTATTGATGTCTACCTAAGTTTAAAACAAAAAAAAGAAATTAAATTATGGTTATAAAATTAATTATTGAAAGAAATAAACATTAATCGATGAGTTAATCGATTAAATTAAATGAAGTTGTTCTAAAATTTTGTTTTTTTTCGAGTTGTCAGAAAATCACAATATGACAACTGACAACTATGCACAATACATACGCATGTCGCCATTTAACATTGGATACGTCGATCTGTGAACTACGTGAAGAGTCCATTGAATTTCGTTGCAGTCCCTATAGAAATTGTATCCTCCGAAATGAGCAAGCCAATGAATCGGTTGATCAGTAAATAGCCAATTTTATATTTTACGTCTAATAAAATATCGATACGTTTCTGTTTTTTTATGTGATCGATTGCCAAGTGAGATAATATAGATGATACGAATTCTTACATAATGTATTTTTCGTTCCAGCCGTCGGTTTTAGGAAATGGTACTACAATGCCTGCGGATTTAATCAATTAGGTAATAAAAAGTGATGTTTTACATTGTTAATTAGTTAATTAATCGTATGAAAACGAATGAAATTCTTAACTCTAACCTAACCTTGTTGTTAATATTGTATATTTCCTTGTGTAGAAGCTGATATAACTCGTTTTATTGAACTAATAGAGACAAACGTTTAATACATTTGAAATGTTATCTGTAGTTGCTTCCTTATGTATCTGTATTGGCTAAATTTGTTTTTATAGCAAATTTGATCAGTATTATTCCGACACTAGTTGCAATACATATATATATATATATATGTGCAATTTTGTAAAAAAGTTGACACTAAAGAATGTGATAATAAATCTGTTCTTTTTAGAACTTCTTGTAGTCCATTCTTTCTCTTTTTTTTTTGTTTTGAAGAAGAGCTGAATCAAGAAGTTCACCTAAATAGCTCTAATATATTTTTAATTATTATTATTATTATCATTAATTTTTCTGTTTAGGTTTAATGAAGAATGATTTAATAAATGATCAACTTCATTCGGATGTAGCAGAAGCATTGAGACGCCTTCCTCAAGAAATTTTAGATCAACGCAATTTCCGTATAATAAGAGCCCTACAGTTGAGTGCTTGTCACAGAGTCTTGCCCAAAGAACAGTGGACTAAGTTCGAAGAGGTCAGTAAATATCACTTACCATTGACTGATCAATATCGCAATTGATCCAAAGTTTTTTTAGCCAAAAGAAGAATTTTTTTTTACAGGATATAGAATATCTTAAGCCATATCTCGATGAAGTCGAAAAAGAGAACGAGGAGAAAGCGAGATGGGAAGAGTCGTAAAATATAATTTAGCTTATGGTTACTATAGTAATGTAACAAAAATTCTCCGTTCTTTAATGCACATTTCGCGGAGAAGAGCTGGTTTGTATATATTAAGATGAATAGAGATTAAATAAATTAAATTTGTTTGTTCAAAACAGTTATAAATATTCAGTGATGCTGTGTATTGATCATGTTATAAACATCCGTTTAATTTCCCAAATGATCATTTCCAAATAATAAACTATGTATCAAATAATAATAAACCAATTTATAATGAAAAAATATCTGTTAAGCCCATGTCACACTGTACATTAAAGGTCAATGATTGCGAATTGAAGATTAGAATTCAACCAATCAGAAACAAAACAAAATGGATTAAAATAAAAGTCTGGTTGAATTCTAATCTCCAATTCTCAATTCTCAATTTCCAATGCATTGTGTGACACGAATTTTAGGAGGAAAAGCCACATTCAAAAGCAATATTGATAGAATATTTATAATATTGTTTAATTATTGTAATGCATATACTTTTTTCTTTAATAGTCAATACGTTCAGTATTTACATTATATTCAATGCATACTGATGTACATTGAGGCATACAATTGATGATAAAGACGTATGTTTAATGGAAATTGTTGATAAAGATGTTTTTTATATAAATATATATATATATATATATATATATATATATATAAACGAGGAAAATCATGGAGTCTCATCAATAGATTTTACTGTTCTGCTTGGTAAATCATGTATTTGTATTTTTATTTAGATTAATGTACGATGCTTTTAATATATTATACATTAGTGTGTTCAACCAAATTTGTTATAAATAATTCATAACTCAGTACATGAAGATATTAAATGAATTGCAGATAGACGCAAAAATAATTCTCGATCGAAGATACATGATAATTGGAAAGAAATTGTATTTCATTGTCGATTGTTTTCGCGTTCACATATATGTCTGCAATATATTTCTTATATAAGTGTATATTGAATCACTTGGATGACACATGTGATAACTGAATGATAATTAAACAGTAATAATAATAACGTTAGTATGTTTTATTAAATTGATTAAGAGAAAACAGAAAACATTAAGCGACATAGTGAATTAAACAAAATCAAATTGAAGTAAAACACGAAACAAGTATGTTTAAGATTACAATATTTAAAAATATCTTGATATTCATTTATTATGAAAGTTGATTTTTTAAATTTCCAAATGGACGTTCCAAAATGCTCGAGAAATTAAAGAAAGCGCAGTTTTATATATTAATTAGATAATTTTAAGCACAAAAAATACTTTAAAGTCAAAAAAATTTTTTAAAGTCATAAAAGTGTTTTTTTGGAAAATTTTATTACGACATAAATTATATTTAAAGGTTGCAATGAGGGTGATTTAAGAAAATGTCTTTCCTTTTTTTAGGGAAAAATTCATCGCAGTCAAATTTTTCAAAGTTCCTATATGCTATATTTTTATTTTTTAGCATCAAATAATGTATCAAATTTTGCGTTAAAATCATGTCATCGAGCATTTTGCAATTCTGAAATCGATACCTCGAAGTGAGTTAATGCTTTACTCGATTTTTCCTGTAGTATCCATATGGACAAGTCTTGCATCAAAAGTTGAAGAAAATGAGAAAGAAACTGAACGAAAAAAAATGCTCCAATGGAATTCGACTGCCCCATTGAATGTGCCATTGGAGATCATTCATTGATCGTCATTGAGTTACATCATCCCTCACATACGTGCGGCATGCATTTCGCGGGCAAATTGTCGGATCAATATCTCACCCCCACGCGAACCTAAGCTGAGCGGTATCGCATCCGAGAGGAGCGTGCGGCCGCTAAAGTTTCAAGGAAGCCGTCGTGATTGCATCGTCGTCTCGTCAGACGACGGAGAGTGCTGCTGGTGATCCTGCTGGTGATTCCGCTGATCGCTGGTCCTGAACGTCGAGTGTCTTTCTCGAACGCAAGCGAGTTCGTTCCTGCCGGATGAGCCCGCATGACCAGCAACGTTTCTCCAGCAACGTGCCGAAGAACACGACGCGCGCTGGTCAGCACGAAAAATGATTCGGAGCGTGGTAAATTGAATCATCTTGATAAAATGAATTGTTGAACGCGGCCGCTCGCCTTTTTCCTGAGAAACGCTCCGACCGGTGGAGGGTTCGATCGAGAAATTATGGTCGCGTTGCACCCGGCAATCAGGTCAACAGTTGCTAACGTTTTTTCTGCAAAAATCGAAAGAGATAATTAATTTGTGACACAGTTGTGGCATCTTTCCCTGATTTCTGGTCAAAAATCGACTCCGGATATGTCCATAAGTTAGGCTTAATGAAGGCAATGTGAGGGTTGGAACCCATAGTTCAATGAATCACGGGAGATTTTTACGAGGGCAGCATCCCGAAATTGAGAAGATGTTTTATGAATTTAATGTATGTTTCGAGAGCCTTAACGACGCGGCTATCGGTTTCCACGTGGCTGTATCGAAGATCGAATTACGGTGGATGACTCAGGGGTCGCGTTGTTGCATGAAGTCAATTGGACAGCTTCGATCATTTTCGTCTGTAGTCTCGCTGTCGTGAAATGCGCTGTCTCTCAAGGTGATATTTCAGAAATTTTAGAATATATAATGAAATTAATTTTGAATACAGTATAAATTTTAAATATATTATAAAAAAGTATCGGAGGACAAAGCGCAAGAATAGTTTCGTCAGAACCTCGTGGCGGTAGGAGGGAAAGGGAGAAAGAAATTAGTAGGAGTATAACGATCGAATACTGCTCGCGGGTGCATGCAATACTGCATAAACTGCATTTAGCCGGTACCACCAGCCGTTCGTACTTTAATTTGAAAGGAAAAATGTCACAATTCATAAATTGTTCCAAAATCTCAGATGTTCTTAATACTGAATCGACCAAATTTCTAATTAATTAAATAACAATTTTTTTGTAATTTTTATAAAAAATGTTTAATTATCGTTCTTTTCCAGTTTTCCGAAATGCAAGATAATGATTTATTTCGTTATAGATATAATATAATTTTTTTATATCTTAATGATCTGCGTTCGCAATGCTGGAACTATTTATCCTTATTTATCAAATGTTGGGATAAATAATACTCGCGAGCATTGTGAGCGCCAAGTGGAACGCACTATCTATCACGCCTAATCTATCAGAAAATACGAAATCATACTTCTTTTATTTAAATAATTAACACATTTTTGTTTGTCATTGAGAAATTTTATTTTATTTTTTGTTTGTTCTTTTTCAAAGAGATACAAAGGAAAAGATGATAATAAGTGAAGCCTTTTAAAGTTCTATTTAAAATTCTGTTATAAAATATTAACATTATTTTTACAAAAGATTTTTAACTTGTGTTTAGATAGGTAAGTTGTGAAACAGTTGCCTATCAAAATCTCGTTAAATCTCGATAAATAAAAGGTTGCCGTCATGACTGATGCAACAACCTTTTTGTTGACAATTGATGTTTATTACGAAGTGTACCAAAGATTTTTATCTGATTTTCAATGTCAAGTTTAACGAAGTTAAACGAAGTTTTAAGTTCGTAAGTAACGAGTCTATACTTTAAATAGTATTATTTTTTTTATTTTGAACAAGTAAGAGAGCTGAAATAATTGTATTTTTGCTGAAAAATATAACTAAATCTAAATTTTGTCAGTGTTTTTCATATTGCCTTCTAACAAATAAGTAACGTGGGATTTTTAACGATAAACGTCTTTTGTTAATGTGCAGGACTACATTATTACCGTTTTCTCTAAAAAAAAAAAATTGATAAAAAATTGAAAAAACAAATTTTTTTATTATCAAGTTATTAATTCAAAATATTAAATTTTACGGTTATCAAATTCTATAATAGATTTGAAGTTTATATTTCAGGTAAACGCAAGAACCTATTGTGAAAACTGAACCACCTATAGAAATTTATATATATTTATACACACACACACACACACACACACACGCGCGCGCACGTATATATCATCTATAATACATCTTGAAATAATCGATTTGTGTGATTTGCAGATGCGGGGAATACAGCGACCGGCGTATTTCCACACGAGGAAAGCGCTGATAGAGGAGCATCAAGAAGACACGAAGATCGCGCGTTACAATCTCGATCTGAGGAAGAGCACGATCGTTACTAGAATCAGCCAGTAACCTTCCTCGTTTCTTCGAGTTATATTAGCTCGACACAGTTGTGCATCAGTCACGTATGATCACGTGTGATGAAATCACGATGTTAGATAAATCAGGTGCTGCGCCAAAACACTACCTCTGCTACATGTACAAAACTACTGAAGAATTGATCGTATTAGGGCTACAATGAAAAATATATATAGATACATTATTATATTATAAAAGAATTATATATATATATATATATATATATATATGATATATTCTGATGGATAAGCGTTTACACACAGTATTGATATAAAGTTCTGTATCAGAAAAGACTCTTCCTTGCTACGAGGTCCTTAGTCGATTGACATTATTTGTTATGAAAGTTTAGGAAAAAAAAAACGAGAGAGAATGATAATTTATGCCTATCAATTTTTTGATGGATACGCACGTGTAGTAGGTGGATAATTGCATAGAAGCATACACACGCAACAAACACGCATTGAAAGCTCAAGCAGAATAGATTTAAGTTAAAAGCGAGAACGATGAGTATACCATACGATGAGAACTTAATCTGGATAGTAGTGATCGGCTTTATAGTGGCGTTTGTATTGGCGTTCGGTATCGGCGCCAATGATGTCGCCAACAGCTTCGGGACGAGCGTCGGCGCCGGGGTGCTTACGATATTTCAAGCTTGTGCCCTGGCGACCGTCTTTGAGATCGCTGGTGCCGTTTTGATAGGATACAAGGCAGGTATCGAAGCAATGTCGGTTGTTGAATTTTTATAAATAAAAATGTTATATAATATTGTATAAATCATCCTGGCGAAAACTTTTCTTAGAATTTTTCATATAATTTTTTTCAGAATTTCTATACAAATTTTAGAATTTTTTAATATTTTTCTAATTTTACAATTTTTTTAGAAAAATTTTCAGACCTTTTTTTATACAAATTGAAACAGTTCAAGAAGACTGAAAAAGTCTACATCTTTTTAAAAAATTTTTTTA